CAGCCGCCCCTACATTACCTTCTCCTCTCTTCTCTGTTATGATGCCTTGATGCTCCAAGTTTATGATCAAATGATGATTGACATGTTTCTGAGGCCTCTACTAGTGCTACTACTCGTTTTTTTATATATTGTTGTTTTATAGGACTACTTTGGTTTATAGACCTTTTTTATTTCTTATACCTTCTCGCGTACCTAAAGTACACTTTCTTGCATCTATTAGAACAAAGCGCGAAATAATGTCACGGACACCAGACAGTGCAGCCCGATGCCCCGAGCATGATGAGCAGCCAACCTATGAGGAGCAAGCACTAGAGGACCAGCTAACTCAGGAGCAGTTCGATAACAAGTTAGAAAAGGATCTAGAAGTGATGCTTACTCAGGAGCAGTGTGATAAGAAGGAAGGGGGAGCAAAAGGAAGAGCAGGAGAGGCTGCTAAAGGCGAAGAAGAAGAGGATGATGATGATGATGACTCAGAAGAGGGATATGTAAGTCCCGATGATCCTTTCCCACGTGAAGCCGAAAGGAGGCCAACGGAGGAAGATTTAGACAAGGATTTTGACCCGAACGAGGAGGTAGGGAAAAAGTCTTAGCTTGTAAATTTTGCTAAAGCTTTGGCTGTGTTACCTCTACTAACACTTTGACCTGTCGTATATACAGGTCCCTCCTGAAACTCGGAAAAGACAACATCGACGTCCGCGACATCTCGCTGGACAAGATAGAGTAGAGGAAAGGAGAGAAGAGGCAACAACCACAGAGACGGATCACGATGCCTCTGCTCCACAACCTCAAGACACAACCACGACTACCAAGCCTAAGAGGAAACGAGGGGATAGAAAAGGAAATCTATATCCAGATAAGGCATGCTATGTGATAACGGAGGTCGGGCCAGTAGGGGAGATCCTTGAGCCGAAGGAATTAAGATGACGATTCCGTAATGCGATCGGGACCCTAGTAAGAGATAAAATGAACCCAGCAATCTCTAACTAGAAAGTGGTACCAGAGAACAAAAAGAATGAACTATGGGATAGGCAGCTGAAGCTCAATTTTAGATTTCCGGAGGGTAAGCACGAACTGGTAAAAAAATGCTTTCAGGATGATGGGAGAGTCATTCCGATGTTGGAGGTCGGATCTCAACACGAAGTATATCCAAAAGGGGTTAACTCCCTTCAACGAGTTCGGCAAAATAACTCCTAGTCAATGGAAGGAGCTCGTGGCTCAAAAGACTTCACCGGAGGCATTGGAGCTCAGTGCCTGTAACACCGAGCTGGCGAAGAGGAACAAACACCACCATCATCTAGGCCCCAGTGGCTACTATGCTAAGGAAGAACAGTTTAGGAAGATGGACGAAGAGGCCACAGCTACTGGGAATATTGATGTGACAAATTTAAAGATACGCTCAAGGAATTGGATATATGCGAGGAGTACAGAATCATCCGGTGGTAATCTTAAGTTTGATAAGCCGGAGACCCAAGAGGCAGTATCAAGGATATTGAAATATGCTGAAGATAAGGAGAAGGGCTCATTCAATACTTCTAGAGAGAGGGACGAGCTTAGCCTTGTCTTGGGAAACAAGGAGCACATAGGCCGCACCAGGGGGCTAGGGAAAAGGATGACCTAAAAGCAAGGATTCAAAGAGGATAGGCACATGTACAAGAAACATGGCAGAGACCGGGAGACTAATCTTGAGCTTCAAGTGAAGGCTCTAGTTGCGAAGGCGCTGGAGGAGCAAGGACTATCTACGGAGCCACGGATATTAGTGACACCGCCGGGAGAACTGACATTAGTTGGCAGCCCTCCGAAAGTTTCTAGCAGCCAAGGTTCCACTACAGCCACAACCCCCGTCGATCGCATACGGGAACCAACTAGTTGCACCTTGGTGTTTCTTAGCGGCCGACAGAACACTGTGATGGAGGTGGCAACGGGTGTGGCACATCCTCCCAGTGGCTTACACCACAATAATAAGATATCGTCGGACTACACTAGGGTCGAGGTGCATACCATGAAGCCCGAGTTTATGCAGTGGAGGATAGACTACGCAACTCCCGAGGGGCTGGTGTTACATGGAAACGTTATGGGACAGTTCATCCTCTAGCACAAAAGAGACATTATATTGACTGCTTCTTCACCGCCTCCCCTCTCCCAAATTTGGAGCAAGTTGTTGAGATCGGGGAGATATTTTCACCGTCTCGTGACCACCACATTCCTGAGATGCCACATTCTTCCCCGCCTCCTAGCGAGCATGTGCCTGATGAGATGCCACAACCTTCTCCAGCTCGTACCGAGCAAGTGCATGATGAGATGCCATAGTCTTCTCAATAAGCACAGCCGATACATGAACAACGAGTGCCTCCTAAAGAAGGTGATGCACAAGAAGATGAGGACGTGCCTGAATGGGAACTTCGAAAGAAGCATCCAATCACCATAAGGCCAGTTTATGTTTCGATGAAAGACGTCTCGTCGGTGTCCAAGTGGTATTTCCATGACCAGTTCAAGCCTGAGAACCAAGTTAAAAAAGTCCCATCATGGGGTTCTGAGGAGGCCGTCACTAGCAAACTCCACCAAATTGCAAAGCAATATCCAAATGTTGATGCCATCAAATGGTCAAAGGATTGCCCGAAAACATATGAAAGAGGCAAGCCCTTCCTACCAAATCGGGACATCCAGCGCCTACCACTTAGAATGAGAAGGTTCCATGATTGGTACTTGCGTGTTCTCCCAACGAGCATAGACCTCAAACAAGCATGCTTCCCCACCGACACATTTGGAAGCCTAGCCGGGAAAATTGTCTTTGACTTCAATGACATGCACACATGCTTTTACCTGAGAGAAATGGAGATGAATCTAATTCGCACGTGGTGCCTGTAAGTCCCTGTTTTCCTAATATGATATAAATGTAATCTTTGAATTTTGTTCTAACTAACCCACGCCGTGATTTGTAGAATACAAGTGCACATTGTCAAACAAATACCAAGTGTGAAAGTCGGGTATCTAGACCCTCAAGCTATAGCCCAAACAAATTTTAATTACCCTAAACAGTGGAAACTGGATGCCAAAGAGCTAGCTGCTGCAAAGACTCTTTGGGAGAAAGAGCACATTCGTACGGCGAAACTAAGGAAGAGTCCTTTAAGGTTGCGGCATACATTGCCCTGGCTTTCAAAACTCTCCAACAACACTCTACTATATGGCTACCATAGAACTTCGAGGAAGTTCAACTTTATACTTAAAGCTTTGTTCGATATATTTTATTCGATGCAAAAGAGCTTATCTAGTTCTATGATTAAATCCATGCAGCAACCACTAGATTTGTATAGCCGTCGATGTCGGGAGGAGCATGGCATGGGTCTTTGATTCAATAGATAGGGACCCGGTGACATACAAAGACTTCATATTGATTCTCAAGATGTATACATATCGACAATCCTCATTAGCTTATATGTTTGTATACATACTTGTAACGTTCACTTTTAGATACTAACAAGTTGTATTTGCTAAAATAATTTGAACAGGACATTTAGGTTCTATGTCACTAATCATCATGGAAGGCACGATCCAGCAAGAAAGGAAAAGCTGGCTATAAAAACACTGTGCGGTAAGTGTAACTTCTTCAGTACTCCATTACATGGCTGTCAAAAGCATTACTTAATATTTTCATATGCAAAACACACAGTGCCCCAAATAGAAGCCTGGGAGTGTACATTGTGGATACTATATATGTTCTATGATGAGTAACACCGGTGCCTATAGGAGACACTCCTTAAGGGTAAGTTTGAACTTCTTCACCCATAGTATAAAAACTTCGTACATGGTATGAAATACTAAATCAAAACTTGTTCTCTTGTAGTGGAAAGAAGAGAAAGGAATGAAAAGAGACCCATACAAAGATGACCAACTCTTAGAGCTCGTCGGCGACCTTTGCAACTTCATATTGGACCAGATTGTACACGTCAAAGGCGCCTACCATGACCGAGAGTCTGACTTAGGTAGAAATCCTCAGTACCAACACCTTCGTGAGACTGAAAGGCTAGCTCTAGGACGTTGATAACAATATGTATGAAATTTGTATATTTAATGATGGATTGTATATATTCTTGTGAATTGGACTTATAATTGTAGTTTATATAATACTTTTGTGATGGTAGTCTAAGGGGTTCGGAACGCTGGTCGCGGGGCGTTCGGCAACACGAACACGGTTTGGAACGTTGGTCACGGGGCGTTCGGCAACGCGAACGCGGTTCGGAACATTGGTCGTGAGGCGTTCGGCAACGCGAACGCTGGATGGAATATGTGGAAACAAACAGTGTTCTGGTCGAATTTGAATTGTAAATTTGAATTTTTTTTACGGAAAAACGTACTATAAGGGCGGTTCAAACCGCCCCTACAAACAGGTATTATAGAGGCGGTTAGTATTACAGCCGCCCGTACAAATCGATTTGTAGGGGCGGCTGGTAATACGAGCCACCCCTACAAATCGATTTGTAGGGGCGGCCTGAGAACCGCCACTACAAATGCATGATTTGTAGAGACGGTTCGGTAGGGACGGCTGACCAAACCGCTCCTATAAAGAGTTACGAGCCGCCCATAAAAATAATTTCTGTAGTAGGAAGAGAAGATAGAAGATCATGTGGACTCTGTTAATGGGCTATCATTGGCATAACGCTTAGTCGGTTGTTATTGTTGGGCCTTAGTCAGTTAGAAGGCTGGTGACCTAGGCAGTATATAAGCCCCTGTAACCGTCGGATGTAATCATCGAACAACAGAATCTCTGATCTGGACTCTCAAACTCAATATTCGTCTGAACTGTCTCTTGCTGTCCTTGCTTTCTTCCTCAAATTCCTTGCTGATTCCTATCCCGAATTCTATCCACTCCTGTTACCAGTTACGTTCTGATCCGGAATGTAACAATTTGGTATCCAGAGCCGTCATTTTGGGCGGAATTTTTTTCTCCCCAATCGATTCTCGTCCTGGCGCCTGGCCGCAAACCGACGAAGATTCAGTCGCAAATGGCGGAGTCGTTGGAAGAACTCTCCTCCAAGTTCGACGACATGGCCAAGCAAATGACCTCCTTCAGCGGGATGGCGAAGCAGTTCGAGGGCCTGCGGCAGATGATGCGGCCGACGCTCGATTCTGTCAACAGCATGGGCTCGCGTCAGACGTCTACCGAGGTGATGCTCGACGATTTGCGTACCTCGACCGACGTGGCGACGACGACCCTCCGCAACACCACCTCCCGCATCGACTCGTTGGTGATGCGCATGGATTCCCTGGAGGCGCCGACGAACCCTGGGAGCACCCTGGGACCGGGCGTGTTGGGCGGTCCTCCGCTGACCACGGCCGCGCCGCCCCTGCCATGGAGTTTGAACCTCAACCTTGCTCTCGGTTCGTCATCATGCTCACCTATGATGGACGAGGAGCAGCCCAAGGGGCACGGCGAGCACTGCGGCGGGATTATGGCATCCCGACCACAGTCCAGTTCGGAGGGTACGTTCATCGAGACTCCACCTGAAAACTTGTTTCAGTCGGATTCAGTTCCTCGTTCCCCGCCTTTTCCTAAGATAGAGTTTCCGAAGTTTGATGGATCGAATCCCCGCTTATGGCAAGATCATTGTACCATGTTTTTTGAGGTCTATGCGGTGCATCCCTCGCTGAAGACTCGCTTTGCTGCCTTGAACTTCATCGGCATCGCCGAGACGTGGTTGCATACTGTTGAAAGGCGGGAGCGTATCTCTGATTGGCCAACCCTCTGCAAATTGGTGATGGGACGCTTTGACAAGGATCAGTACCCCTTGATCTTGAAGCAATTTGAGGCCACAGTGCAGACTGCTTCGGTTTCTGAATACATAGCTGAGTTTGAGCAGGCAGCTCATAACTTGTTGCTCTACAATCCCAACTATGATGAGACGTATTTTGTCACGTGTTTTCTTGCTGGCCTTAAGGAGGACATTCGCTTGGGGATTGTGCTGTACAGGCCTCCTGATGTGGATACTGTAAATGCCCTGGCCCTTCTTCAGGAAACTGAGCTTGGACGCTCTAAGGGTCGAGTTCATGGCAAAAATGAATTCAGAGGGTCTTTCAAGACCAATGTTGAGAAGATGAAATTTGGGGATGGGGACAAGCCTAAGCAACAACCTGTCCTAACTGAAACCGAAGACAAGTTGACAGCACTCAAGAATTTCAGGCGAAAGAATGGCTTATGTTTCAAATGTGGCAACAAATGGAGCAAAGATCATAAGTGTCCACCTCAGGTTGCTCTCCATGTGATTGAGGAGTTATTGGACGCTTTAGAAGATGAGGGCTTAGATAGTGAAGAGTTAGACTCTGAGATCTTGGAGGAGTCAGTTATGTCAGTGGGGCATTCTGTTCCTTCAAACCAAGTCAATAGGAGAACTATGAAGCTGTGTGGCAAAATTGGGAAACATGATGTACTCATATTGGTTGATTCAGGGAGTGTGGCTTCGTTTATCAGTACAAAACTTGCTGACAGCCTCTAGTTAGCTACTGAACCATGCCAACCAACAATGTTCATGGCAGCTGATGGCATTCCTATGACATGCTCCAGACAAATTCAGAAGATGCACTGGACAGTGGATGGTCATTCTTTCAGAAACACTGTTGGAATCTTACCACTTAAGTGCTTTGACATGATTGTTGGAGAGGATTGGTTGGAGGACTGTAGCCCTATGTGGATTCATTGGTCCAATAAGATTATGAAATTCACCTACCAAGGAAATAGAATTGAGTTGCATGGTGTGAAGCAGCACACTCAGTGTACTGCTATATCCTATAACTGTTTACAGAATTGGATCAGTAGGGAGGCTGTCCAACACTGTATTCAGTTCAAATGGATCATGCCTAGGGAGCAGGAAGCCATAAAATCATAAGTACATTCTATCAACCTCAACTCTGCAGGAGAGTTACCTGAACAAATCCAATCCCTGTTGGACAGTTATGCTGATTTGTTTCAGGAACCAAATACATTGCCACCTCAGAGGCCTTTTGATCATCATATTAAACTGTTGCTAGGAGATCCACCTGTGAACATTAGGCCTTATAGGTACTCACCTGCACAAAAAGATGAGATAGAGAAACAACTTTCTGAGATGTTAAAGAATGGCATTATCAAACACAGTCAAAGCCCTTATGCTTCACCAGTCTTATTGGTCAAAAAGAAAAATGGATCATGGAGGTTTTGTGTGGACTACAGACATTTGAATGCTCAGACTGTGAAAAACAAACACCCAATACCTATTGTGGATGAGCTAATTGATGAGTTGGCAGGAGCCAAGTGGTTCTCAAAGTTGGATTTTAGGGCTGGTTATAATCAAATATGCATACATCCTGAAGACACTCACAAAACTGCATTCAAAACTCATAGTGGCTTATATGAGTTCCTTGTTATGGCCTTTGGGTTGACTAATGCTCCAGCTACCTTTCAAAGTGTGATGAACCTCATTTTTGCAGATTTGCTGAGAAAGGGAGTCATTGTCTTCATGGATGATATATTAGTCTATTCAGCAACTCGGGAGCAGCATGTGAATTTGCTAAAACAGGTATTTGATATCCTCAGACAGCATCAATTCTTCATCAAGCTATCTAAGTGTTCTTTTGCTCAGAAAGAAGTGGAGTATTTGGGACACTGTGTATCTAGTCAGGGTGTAGCTACTGAAAAGTCCAAAATTGCTGCAGTAGAACAGTGGCCAATACCCAAGAATGTTAAAGAACTCAGGGGGTTCCTTGGTTTGACTGTATATTATAGAAAGTTCATTAAGAACTATGGATTGATGAGTAGGCCACTTACTAATATGTTGAAGAAGGGAGTTCCCTTTGTTTGGACATCTTTAGCTCAGTCAGCATTCAATCAGTTGAAGCATTCCTTGGTGCATGCCCCTGTACTTGCCATCCCAGATTTCAGCAAGACATTTACATTAGAAACTGATGCCAGTGATGTGGGATTTGGGGCAGTACTGTTACAGGATTCTCATCCTATAGCTTATTTGAGTAAGGCAGTGTGTGCTAAGAATTAGGCATTGTCAACCTATGAAAAAGAATGTATGGCCATAATTCTTGCCATGGAGAAATGGCGCCCTTATCTTCAAAATTCTGAGTTTGTGATAAGGACAGATCATAAGAGCCTCCTTCATATGACTGAGCAAAGAATTACCTCCAAGATCCAGCAAAAGGCACTGTTGAAGATGATGGATTTGCAATTTAGAATTGTGTACAAGCAAGGGGCTTTGAATCAGGTTGCTGATGCTCTGTCCAGGTGTCATTCTCCCCCATCAGTTTGTGCCTTGTCTCTCTGCTCTCCAGATTGGATGGATAAGGTCAAGTCGGGCTATATGGATGATCCTACTGCTGTAAAAATTCTTGCTGCCCCACCTGGAGATTTTACTGTACAGGATGGACTTTTCAGACATAAAGGTAGAATTTGGTTGGGCAATAAACATTTGGCTCAGAAGCTTGTGCTACAAGCTATTCACTGTTCTGGGATTGGAGGGCATTCTGGATTTCAGGCAACATACTATCGTGTGAGAAATATATTTTCATGGCCTGGTATGAAAGCAGCTATAGCCCAGTTTGTGCAGGAATGCCAGATTTGTCAGCAGGCAAAAGTAGAGCATGTTAAGCCTCCTGGGATGTTATAACCATTATCTGTGCCTACTCAAGCCTGGCAAATAGTGTGTATGGATTTTATTGAGGGTCTTCCAAAGTCCCAGAAGTTTGATACAATTATGGTGGTCATTGACAAGTATACCAAGTATGGGCATTTCATTCCACTAGCTCACCCATTCTCAGCCTTAGTGGTTGCTTAAGCTTATTTGGATTCAGTGTACAAGCTGCATGGACTACCTCAGGGTTGTTAGAATAATCTACTGCTTCTTTGTGTGAACACACAGCAAGGGAATGCGGCGCCGAAAAGGCCCCCTGCTGTGGTACTGTAGGCACTGCAGAGGCAGGCGCCGAACGGCTTGTCACAGAACCGACCAATTTATAAGAGCACAAGTACAAAAACAATCGCCGAAACGATCAAATTCTCGAACTTGAGCCCATATAAACCCGGTAGTCAACTGAAATCTCGAAGGATTTCAAACCAACTTGCATACAACCAAGATCACAGTAATTCAACATAACATATCGTACATTACAACATTTCGCAGACATTCGCAAATAGATTAGATCATCACAGAGTCATCGTTATTACAAAACAAGTCCTGTAAAAACATGCGATAGCAAATAATTTAACATACACACCCGAGTTCAAATACACATACTGGTTCGTTGATCACAGCCCGCAAAAGCATTCAGATAAGAGAACAGAGATCATGCCCATGATCTAGTCTTCATCACCCGCCAGGTGGAGACAATACTTACAGAATCCCTGATATAGAAGGTCATCTGCAACAAGAGGGAATAAACCCTGAGTACGGGAATGTACTCAGCTAGACTTACCCGTTATAAACCAGAAATAAATGACACCAAGGAGTATGCAAAGCTTTATTTAGTGGATCTGGCTGACACTTCCTTTTTGCGGAAAAACATAAGTAATAATGATTAACTTTTAACCTGAACTAGCAGTGACTTTAAGCCATTAACCTGTCAACTATATTAGCACCTGTACTAAGCAATCATTTTATTAGGGTGCAAACATTAATAACCATATCAGGTATTCATTGTGGCAACATTATCAATCATCATCATCTTCTATTTAACCATATCGTTAAATTAAGTGAATCTACGTTGCCGCTGCTCAAGTCAAGTTCTCACTATCCGGGAGAGACGGCGATTCGAATCGATTTCTATCTAGCTGGAGGGGTATTCCTAACACAAACCCTGCTTCTTCCGTCAGGGTCGCAAACAAGTCACCTTTGGTACAACTTAGGAGAAAAATAAAAGAAAAGACGCGAGTCCGAGCCGCCCTGCATTCTCAGAGAACCACTCTGCCAGGAAGTGCAGGATCTTAAACCCTGACTCCCCTTGGTCTTATGTCAATGGCTCTCCGCACATCCTTACTACCTCCAGAATACATCCAACCCCCATGGTTCCCGGCCTAAGTTGAGCTACTCGGCTTCGCGGTCGGAACGACTTATCCGGCCAACTAAGTGTTAGGCTGCGTTCAACATGACCTGAGGACGTACAGCGTATCGGTCCTTAAACGACATAGACGGAGTCACTATGTTCAAACCTACACAAGACCCCGTCCGATCCTAATTCATTATTCACATGGTTCTTTTCCACGATAGTAAATATAGCCAACCGTGATCCACCTCATCCTAAAGCTCGCAGGTGACAAGAAATCACCTGACTTCTACCGCACTAAGCATGGCTAAGCATTTAACCCGTTCCTGAACTTAAATAGGATTCAAGTGCGATATCTGGACAAGGATAGATATATAATGCAGCAATTGGTTCCAACCAACTCCTATACTTAATGCAGCATCAACAATAAAAGATACTCAATATATTTGTAAAGACATGGGAGACTTATAATGCTCCGGGGCTTGTCTTTCAGGAAAGAGGATGAACGGTGGTCAGGGCACTCGGGCAACTCCTCCTCGGCGGCTGCTTCTTCGGTTGCCTGCACCTCGGGCTCCTCCTCCTGGCTCGCTCCCTCGAACTCCAGCAACGTCACTCTATCCGACACACCTATTGCATGAATGCACAAGATAAATATCATGGATGCACATTAACGAATGTCAGGGATGCTCGGGTAATGCACATGTTTGCTATAGTCTGCATATTCCAACTTAAGCCCTATTCAAATCACTTTACTTACCAAGTTTATACAACCTAATGTATAATTGCTCATCTTCAGTTAATGACCTAGCACCTACACCTAAGCATATTCTCAAGTTAGGCTAACCCCTAACAATCAATGGAAACATTGCATCAAGCATACACTCAAGCATTTGTATTTCAGCAAAATAAAGACTATGTAGCGGTGCAGTAAACTAGCCATAACTAGAGATTTATAAATCCAATTGACATGCAACAAGACAATTTGGAAAGCTTATAAAATTGTCTACAATTCATTTTCAGACCTCAAACCATGATTCAAACCTTTACCAGGTCGAATTCATAAATCAACAGAACTCTGTCCTCACAAGGTAGAGAGTAAGCAAAACTGGAACCTAATGTTAAACAACTGTAGTTTCCAAACTACAGCGCCAAATGCCCTAAAATTTTGACAGGAACTAGATACATAAATTGTCCACAACTTTTGTATTCATCACATTCACAGAAAACCAAAATATCATGGGGAACTTTCTAAAGTCCCCAGATCTGTCCAGAGGGACATAATGCAAACGAAATAATTAATAACTTATGATGTAAACACATAATTGGAAAAAACTAACTCTACTCACATATCACTCATATCACATGAATACCAGAAAGTAGGGTGTTCATCACCAAAACATTTCTTTTAATATCTTTCTTAATTTAATGAATTAATTAGAGGAAATGGTAAACATATATGAAAACTACCCCATTA